CGATCGATTCCGTATTGTAAGCTTGTTTTAATCTACAATCTCTCAATGAATTAGTGCTTGCACCAGACATTAGGTGTCTAGCACCAGATTTGCGGTGTCTAGCACCATATTTTTCAGACATTAGGTGTCTAGCACCAGATTTACGCGGTGTTTTGGACGAACATTTACTAAATGCAGTCATGTCGTCCCTACCAGGGAATGCCGCATATGTACGTTACAAGAAATTAATAAGCTGTTACAACATATTGATGTGCTTGATCAAACAACTTGAGCTCAGTCAGCCAATATTGAGACGGTTTCGCTGCTAAAAGAGAGATTCATCTGTAGTCCTATCTAAGAGATATATACAACACTATAATAATCTTATCAATTCATTAGCTGTGTATAATATTATTAAATTTAACCACAAGAAAATATGAAAATATTCTTGCGACATGTATCAATTAGCCCAAAATTGTTCAGGTCCCGAAAACCTGAATATAGTTGCTCACGCATATTAAAAATGGAGCAAATTAGAATCACAAGGCTAGTGATCGGCTACACATTGTCAATGAAATCTTCTCCCATCTAAAACATTGGTCCCCTAAAAGGCTAAGGCTTGAATTAACGAACAGGAAAAGGACCGTCCAGTGGCCATTCTTGACCAGAACAGTATCCGGTCTCCATCAATCTATCGAGTTCTGCACATTGACCCCGAATGTGGAAGAAAGACTGATGTTGAAGAGTTGAATTGATTTCTAATAGCTGTAATAGTATATGCTTGGATTAGCATGCATTTCGGTTCTGAATCTTGAGACCATTATCGCTAATTCTTCGTCAACATTTAAAAATATTTAAGAATTGATATCTAACATTTAAAAATATGGGCATGCCGTGCTTGACCCGAAGAACAACTAGTCCCCTTCTCTCTCATTTTCCAAATGGACCCCCTGAATGTGGAAGAAAGACCAGTGAGAAGACTTAAATTCATTCCCAATGGTCCAAGTAACACTGAAATGGGCATATACTTGTGTTCGAATATGAGATTATTTGGCATAATATTTTTAAAAATATTGTATCACTATTTTAATGTGATAAATGTGAAATAAAAATATGATTAAAAAATATTTTTATAATGCAAGTAAATAAATTTATACAAATAATTAGCGTGCATTTAAGTCGTGGCCCTTGAAAAGAAGTACTACTACTAACTAGTAGAAATTTCCACTTCTTTAATCCAATCGTTTCTTTGACTATAGTATTTTGGTAACATTAATGCACTCCGATGACATGAATTTTGCAAGTTATTGTTTTACTGTTTATATTTATTATCTTAGAGTTTACATTTATTATAGTAATGCATATATTTTATGATATAATTGACACTAATAATTGTAGAAATCTCGAATTCTCTGCTTCCACAATTTTAAGGGTTGAAAAGCCCTCAAGTTTTTTTTTCTCAAACTCTTTACTTTGTTGGTCATGGTTATTAATCTCCAAGATCAATGGTCATTTAGTGGTTTGCTCGAGAAGGAAAACAATTGAAGAAAACTAGAGAGCTAGCTTGAAGATTCATGCTAAAATAAAAAAAAATGAAAAGAAACCAGTTAAAGCTATATTTGTATTTATATCTCTATACTCCTCCCAATAAAAGCCTCTGGGATCATTTATATTTTGATGGTTCTTTATTTTTTGTTCTTCCTAATATACCCACACTAAATAAGATAATAGCTTAACCATAATTGACAAAATTGTCATATTTTAAACACGGATGAATTAAAAGACTCAAACTCTTGCTCCACAGCTGCTATCAAAGCACGGCTTCTTAATTATAAAGTTTAACATATTAAACTGTGAAATTATTGCAAAAACAGGGGCCCCAAGTGCACCGAGCCCACCACTTGCATTTGTCTCCAAGTGCAACTTATATTCCACCACTTGTCAAAGGAATTAATTTTGTACATTATCGTTTTACTGTTTATATTTATTATCTTAGCGTTTATATTCATTATGATAATGCGCATATTTTATGAGTAGCTCTCCTTTTCATTTGAAAAAAGACAAAAGAGTTGTTCACCTCATTGTGTGGGGATGGAATACAACAATTCCCAATAATTCTATGAAACCCGACCCCCACTTGCTCGTATTCCACTTAAGATTTCGGAAGGTTTTTCCCTTATTGATTTAGTTATTTTCAATTTGAGTCAATATAAATGTACAGTGGGATAATTTCATAAACGTCCCCTGAGTTTTTCAAAAATTGTACAAAGGGAATGGGAGTCAGTACATTTTACCATGCGATGATTATACCAAAATGAGCGAAATTGTAAAAGAGTCAGTACCTTTGTTAACGTGCAATGCCATACCACTTCTCAACAACGAAATGAGTATTTAGGAAAAAAAAAAACTCCAAAAAACTATGCAATTGATCACCACCAATGCATTAAGGCTTGGTAAGGTAAAGGACTAATTTGTCATAATTAAATATCGCCTTACTTAACGCACCCGTCTGGTCCAGTGGTGGTTCAGTCCCCCTTCGGGTTCCCAAGAACCTCTTCAGGTCCTCCCTCCTCATAGTGTAGAAAGTTATTGTATCGATAAAAAAAAAAAAAAGTCAATAAAATTTCTTTACTTTATTCAAACCAAGATCATTTCCAGATTATTTGACCGCTCTCTCGTTAACTTTGATTCATCTGTTCTTTCTTGACCTCGCTCCGTTTGTCTGTTGAATAATTTATTATCTCATTTCTCTTCTTCACCTTCCCACAAGGAAAAAAAAATTTCGGGGTGCTTGCTCTGCAGTCGGCTAGATCTTTTTCTCCCTTAAAATTTGAGAGTGAAACTAAGGAAAAATCCCTGCACAACAGATGGACGTGGCCTCCACTTGCAGCGTCGATCGTGTCTTCCTTGATCTAAAGTTGCTTATGGACGACCTCAATGTCATGTTCCGAACAGGCAAAATTGGATATACGTACGTGGGTGTAACATTTCTCAAAATTGAAGCTGCGTACCTGAACATAACATTTCTCAGAACATTTGTTATGTGTGCAAGAAATTGGAGCTACGGCAGTGATTTTCACTTGGAATCCGAGAACGTTGGTAACGAGGTGAGTCTTCCATCTTTTTTATCTTGCATTGAAGATACCGTTAACAAATATGAGGAGGACATTCACTCTCTTTGCCTTATGTTGGAATCTGATGCACTTGGCATACGTGATGTTGGCGATGAAGTGGTTTTTAAATTTTTGAAACAGATCAAATCATTTAAGCAAGCAATCATCCAAGTTTATTTTGCTTTGGCAAGCAGCAGATCATTTGAATCAAATTCTTGCATGCCAGTTGATGAACTAATGGAATTTATAGACCTCATTCTACAAAATCTAGCGGATTTAACAACTAGCGATTTGTGTATTGTTGAAATGGATCCCCAAGTTGGTGCTCAAGTCCAAGCCCTTGAAGCAAAGCTGACATTGTTGAAAAGCTTCATTCCCTTTGCCAAATTGCGAGGAACTGTAGATATTCCTGCCTTGCTGTTGGCTCACTTTGAAGTGGTGACTTTGAACGCAGCACGCCTCTCTTACATGTGTTCTTGTTGGGATGATGAGTTCTGCAATCCTCAGTTCTGCTCCAAGATATATGAGCAACAACAGAAAATCACACCTATTGATTTTCAAGTCTATGAGATTTATATGGAAGTTCTTAAAGCTACAAGATCCTCAAAATCATTGCATAATAGAATGATGGATAAGCAGATATTGAACAACTTCAATGATTCTCTGATAAGTCGTCTCTGGGAGTTGTTATGCTGCAGCCCTAGCTTTGTGGATTCTATGAAAGATGAGATGCCAATACTCTATGCAGGACTGAGGTTTTTGAGAAGCATTTTAAGGAGCAGCAGGAGAAGATGAATGAGCAAAACGAAAAAATTGGTGCTCTTCTTAGTGAGGCAGGCATTATAATTTGCTCGCCTTCTCTAAACAGAGTGAAGGAAGGAGAAGTTGGCTTCTTAGAATCCACAGAGGTCCTTGACTGTTGTGATATGCTGGCTAATACCAACACCCATCTCAAGCATTTTAAGGATCAGATCAGTGGCTCAAGCGTTATTGAAAGTCTTCCTTCCTTTCATAGCTTAAGAGCACCAGAAGTTAGCAAGACTTCCACCCACATGCTATCAAAAGGTAAAATGCCAATAGCCATGAAGTCATGGTTGGTCTTGATGATGAGGCAGAAAAAGTAATTGAACGACTTGTAAGCTGATCAAAAACAGGTGGAAATTGTTCCCATTGTGGGAATGGCTGGGCTTGTAAGACAACTTTAGGCCAAAAAAGTTTACAATGATAGTTCAGTAATCTATAACTTCCACATTCGTCTTTGGTGTATAGTTTCTCAAGCCTATAACATGAAAAATGTGTTACTTCAAATTTTACACTCTGATGGCAAACATTCGAGATGGATGATGAGTTTCAAAATCTGGATGAACATGCGTTGCTTCAAAAGCTCTACCAAAAGCTGAAGGGGAATCGGTATCTTGTTGTTTTTGATGATGTCTGGGACATTGAAGTATGGAATGAGCTGGGAATTTCATTCCCGGATGACAAGAAAGGAAGTAGAATCATCTTCACAAGTCGATCTTCTAATGTGGCTTCACAGGTTGAATATGGGGGGAAACCTCACAATCTTCGCCCACTCAGTGAGAAAGAAAGTTGGGAATTACTGCAGAAGAAGGTTTTTGGAAAAGAAGATTGTCCTCAAGCATTTCATGGATTGGGAATGGAGATCGCCAAAAGTGCAAAGGATTGCCACTTTCAATTGTTGTTGCAGCTGGAGTCCTAGCAACTATAGAGCATGATATTTGTGTTTGGGAAGGATTTGCTGAAAGTTTAAGTTCAACCACGGTGTCTGATGCAGAACAATGCAAAAAGTCGATGGAGCTCAGTTATGAGCATTTACCATATCACTTGAAGGCATGCTTGCTGTATTTTGCTGCATTTCGAGAGGATGAAAAAATTTGTGCTAAGAAGTTGATGTGTCTCTAGATTGCAGAAGGGTTCGTGGAAATAATTGAAGGAAAGAGATCAGAGGATATTGCAGAAGAATATCTGATGGACCTAATTCATCGAAACTTAGTTATGGTAAGTGAAAACAGATCCATTGGTGGAGGCAAAACTTGTTACATTCACGATTTGATATTAGAGTTCTGTAAGACTGTGGCGAAAGAAAAAAATTTTCTTCAGATCCTGCGTGGATATGATGAGCTTTCTATTTTTAATGAGCCTCCCAACCTACATCGGTTGTCCATTTGCTGCAGTGAAGAAGATTTTATAAAGTCAAAACTATTTTGTCCAGATTTAGATACTCTGCTATTCTTCAATGCTACTTCAGGAGATAAGTTTGGGATGCTTAATATCTCCTCCTTTTTTTGCATCTACAAACGTCTTAAAGTTTTGAATTTAGAGGACATTAACCTAATGTTGAAGGAGCTTCCAGCTGAAGTCGAATCACTTCTTTGTTTGAGGTACTTAGCCCTTCGTACAGCTCAGCCCATGGAATTCATTCCACCATCTATAGCCAAGCTCTCACATTTGGAAACCTTCCGTCTAAATTCTTGCACGACGGTTTCATTGCCAGATAGCATCTGGAACATGAAGAAGTTGAGGCATGTACATGTACAGCGTAACTGTATTATTCTTCTCTCTTCCAGCGACAACGTTGTTGAAAACCTCTCCACTTTACCCAATTTAGACACACTCTCAAATCTGTGTCTTTATCTTGATCAAGAGGGAGAGAACATATTGAGAAGGATTCCCAACGTTCACCAACTTCAAATTTTCAATTGTGGGGGACCAAATAGAGTATGCTGCAACATGAGTCGACTAGAATGCCTAGAGTCACTCACCTTAGGGGGCAACTATTTCTCAGGTTCACGGGAACATGTTGAGCTTTCTTTTCCCATGAATTTGAAAGAGTTAAGTCTTCAAGCTCTGGGTCTTCCCTGTAGAAAAATGTCATTGATTGAACAACTACCCAATCTTGAAGTCCTCAGATTAAGAGAGCATTCAATGGACGGCCAAAAATGGGAGCTGATGGAAGGAGGATTCCCTAAACTCAGGGTCTTGACTTTGGAATATGTAAAGATTGTTGAGTGGATAGAGACAGACCCTGACAGTGATGATTACTTCCCGTGCCTTCAGCAATTAAAACTCCAAAGCATTTCTAATTTGGAAATGATGTCTTTTTGTTTAGGGCGTATATGTACCCTTGAAACAATTCAGGTGAGTTTTTGCACAGATGGTGTCAAATCTTTAGTACGGGAAATTGAAGAAGCATAGAAAAATTACGGAAATGAGAATCTGAAGATCATCATCATAGATTGAAGGGCATCAGCTGGTGCAATATCTGGTAATTTTTTTTGTCGTTACCACTAATTGGCTTGTAGAAATAATCATGCTTTTTTCATTTAAGGGAGTTTAATTTATATTGACATTTTGGTAGCTTTTTTGTACTACTTCAGTTGCCTGTAGTGCGTGCACGAGCACATTGAAATTGATGAACAAACAACTAATTATTGCTCTATTTTTTCTTGATGATATATCATCAGGGAGTGTGATGGTCATCTGTGTGGTCTGGCTTTCTTTGGTGCTTTTGTGGAAGATTGAGGTGAAAATTGAAAGGATCGATGGCTCTTTTCTTGTCAAGACATCGTGGAAACAATCAATGAGATTTGTACACCGTGCACCATTTTATCAATATGCACGGCCGCTTAAAGGTTATTCAGATATTTTGCTGTTGGTGTATTTTGTGTAATTTCGTTTTGCTGAATTTAGTGATGGGTGTGTACTATTTCTTTTCAAACACGTGTCAATTTGCAGTCAAGGAACTTTGTTATCCATTTTTTTTTCCTATTTGCCGTCAGAATTGATTAACAATTTATGTTTTTAGCTCATGAGATTTGAGTAATTTTAGAAGTCTCTGTTTGTCAAGTTATAGATGGTAATATTCCAACCGTGCAATTATGTGCTATATGATGACGGTCATTGATATCTTGGGTTGGAAATTTCTGCCTGCTACTAAGATTGATTCTGCTAAAGCACCTGCTAAATTAGTTTTGAGTTGTAGCAATATTCTTAATTCTACTAGGAGTCCTCTTGCATGGATTTGGAAAGTTGAACCAAGCATTTTCTTCGGTTGTGTTCTCAAAACAGACTAGTCTCGAGAGAGCTCCTGCGTTTTTTGCGGGCAAGGAGTCTAAACATATAAATTATGAGGTGTCCTAAAGCTCCTTGTCTTTGGATGGCTACATCTTTACCTGTCAATTCCCCTTCTTTGGGTGGCTCAATTAGATTTCATTAGTTGGCTAAATTTTGATTGTAAAAAATTCTCAACTGTTAACCGCTTTAATGTTCTTTGGTTTCCTCTTTTTCCCGTTGTCTGTTGGGTTCTATGGTATGATAGGAATAAATTTTTGTTTGTTTGTCGGTAATAAAGATTTGCAAGTTTATGTAATACATGCTGTTTATTTTGATAAGAAAAATCCAAAAATTCGTAAACATTGATTCGATCTGAACCGTAAATTTAGGGTACTCGAATCGGTTTTAATATGTGTAGTTTGGGTAGCAGCAAATCGGATTAACAAGGACGTACATCCTGTCGCAATTCAAAAACTTTGAAAATCGCAAATACCTGACCCAATTCATAGGTAGGATATACTTATAATTTTATCCATTAAAACTAAAATTAATACTAAAATTAATAGAGGAATATATAATCATCTTTCATCAAATATTTATATTTGAGATGATATACTTGACTATCTCAACAATATAAGAGTCTTAACTTGTTTAACTTGTTTAACTTGCTAATTATATAATATATTTAGCTTTTGTTTCAGAGAATAAGTGATATTTACAAACTTGTTTTTACTATGAATATGCAAGTATTCATGGTTATGTGATATTTCTTAACAAATAATGAATTATATTTAAATAAAGTCTTTTAGGTGTTTACTTATTTTCTTATTCTCAATTATGAAAATATGATTTCTTTTTTAATTTTGGTACCGAGTCTAGTACCTGCGGATCCGTGAACCGCTTTGCCAAATACGCGGTCATTCGAGTACTCTATGACCGTGGGCACAATTATGATTTAACTTTTTATCGAACCAACAGAACTGGTTCGGGTTATAAAACTGTTAGGCGGAAAGGACACCTGACCCGTGAAATGTAATCACAAACTGATGCTGACTCCTCTTTACTCTTTGTTCATGGCTTAAGGCCCTTGTTAGTAATTATATAAACTCAAGTCAAAGATTCCATCAAACTAAAATCTCCATTGAAGTCAATTTACTATTTTCTTTTGAAAATAAAAACTAGCTATTGATTTTTGGATTATAAGAAATGATTTTTGTAGCATGCATATTGAACAACAATGCTTGAATTTTCAACCAAAAGCAAAAAATTGCGAAATAAAGCTAACATAGATGAATAATTATAAATTATCATTCTCTTTCTCCCTTCCACTTGAAAATGAAAGAAACTATTTTCGTGATAATAAAAATTTCTCTTCAACTTTAATGTTTTCCTTTCTTTTTTTTTGGGCCCCTTATATGCACTTTTTCTCTCAAAAATTCCAAGAAAGCCTTACCTTATGGAAAGTGATAGGTTGCAATTTTATTATTAATTTTATTATTAATTTCCCCTATTACCTGATCCGATGTGGATTAATTGATGGATTTTACTCATTTTTAGTATTTTGCATTTTTTTCATGGAGTAGAACGAAAATATGATAACAAGTGCCAATTTGATAGGAAAGGAATCCAAATAATAGAGCTTATCCCATGGGCATTTTTGAAAAAGAAAAACTTATTCCCATTTTACTAATTGCTGCAAAGGCAAGGACGAACGGAGGGCTTCCTTTTCCTGGTGTGGGCCGCCGCAGAGAAGGGGCACTACCTTAGAGTGGCTTTTGTTGACTTTTCCTTCGTTAGCTTTTGGGGTAGCTTGAGTTCATGTAGGTTAGGGAGCAATTGAAAACTTGAATCATGCTTTGTAGTCTTTTGTTTTCACTTTTACTTTTCGTCCTTTATGGTTTTCCTCCCTCGCATTCATGTCAAGGACAATTAGAAACAATTGAATCATCCTCTGTAGTATCTTGTTTTTCACTATTCATTCGACCAACTTGAATCCTCGCGAGCAAGGACAACGCGGCGCGTTATATGTGTTAGGACCGGGCCAGGAAATAGACAAACTCAAGTTAGAACAAAGTAGGCGGTATAACCGACCATATAATAGATAGGCGGTAGATACCAGCCATATAATAATTAGGCGGTAAAACCGACCATATAAAGACGGATAACAAAGCAAATAAGAGACACAGAAGATTTACGTGGTTCGGTCAAATTGACCTACGTCCACGGGCGAGGGAGGAGCAATATTTCTACTATGAAAAAGAAATACAAAAGACCGTAGGAAAGTAGTTCCTAGGCCAATAGGCACTTACAAAAGAGTTTAGAAAATATTCCTAAACTCAAAATAAGAGAGCCTAAAATATTTGACTAAATGGGTTAAATGACTCAAGAATCTAATAACCCATATAACTCTCTTAAGTGGTGCAATTAATTCCTTCATAAATCCCTTCTATTTATAGGCTCTCCAATGAAGCCTTCCTGCTGTCTGCTGCGATGTGGGATGAAAGGAAGAAAACTTCCTTACGCAGCATCTGATGTGGGAGGTCACTCTGCAGACATGTGCCCAATGATTCAGGAAGAAACTGCAGAACAGGTGAACATGGCTGACCACGCGCCCGCGCCAAGGAAGCAGTACGACCCTTACTCAAGCACCTACAACCCCGGGTGGAGAGATCATCCCAACCTCAGTTATGGAGGGAATAGGCAACCCAACTTCACGCCGAACAGGCAGTCTAACTTTGTGCCAAATAAGTCACTAGGGTACCAGCAGCAATACCAACCCCGACCACCTCCGCCCCCTCAATCTGGTTCATCTATGGAGGAGATGCTGAAATAAATGATGACAACCATGGCGCAAAATCAGCAAAGGACGGAGGCAGCTATTATGCAAAATCAGCAAAGGACGGACTCCGAAATGCAGGACATAAGGAATCAGATAAGTCAAATGGCCACCAAAACTAACCGTTTGGAGTCCCAGAACCAAGGGAAGCTGCCATCTCAACCGGAGTTGAATCCGAAGAACGTGAGCGCAATGACCCTAAGGAGTGGGAAAGAAATTCAGAGGCCTGAACCTGTGATTCATAAGGACAAGGATGAAGAGAAGATCGAAAATGAGTTTGAAAGGGAGGACAGCAATGGTGCAGATCCAAAGGTACTTCCTGACCCAATAAATACAGTTAAAACTAACCCGCCTCCTTTTCCTAGCAGGTTGGAAAAATCGAAGAAACAGGATAAGGAGAAGGAGATCTTGGAGGTTTTTCGCAAGGTTGAGATAAATATCCCCCTCTTAGACGCCATCAAACAAATACCAAAATATGCCAAGTTCCTAAGGGACTTGTGTGTCAACCGAAGGCGATTGAGGGGGGATGAAAGGATTATTGTTGGGGAAAACGTGTCTGCGGTCCTACAGAGAAAGCTCCCACCAAAGTGCGGGGACCCAGGTATGTTTACTATTCCCTGTAGGATAGGTAATACTGTGATCAGAAGGGCCATGTTGGATCTGGGAGCATCAATTAATGTCATGCCTAAATCTATCTATGCTTCTTTGAAACTAGGTCCATTAAAAGAAATTGGAATAATTATTCAATTAGCTGACCGAACTAATGCATATCTTGATGGGTTGATTGAAGATGTGTTGGTAAAGGTTAATGATTTGGTGTTTCCAGCTGATTTTTATGTACTTGATATGGATGATGATCACTCCCCTGATCCCTCACCTTTGTTATTGGGTAGACCTTTTATGAGCACAGCACAGACGAAAATTGATGTTAATAAGGGTACCTTGTCCATGGAATTTGATGGGGAAATTGTGCATTTTAATATTTTTGATACTATGAAGTACCCCTCGAACTCCAACTTTTGCTCA